CAAATCCTTATGATCCTCAAGACAAAGTAGTTGCTTTATAAACATATCTTAATATAAAACTTATTTAAATTATATAAATTATATTCATTTGGTATTTTTTTGTAATTATTATCTTAACCTCAAAAATTGCTAGTGTTGATTAGTTGCATTAAAAAACATATTTAAAAATCAAAGCGGTCTAAAAGTAATTATACCTGTAATATTTAGAAAAATGATGATGGTGGGTAGCTCTTCGGTTAGATTAAAGGTAAATAAAGTTATTGAGTTTTTAGTTTAGCATCTTAATATGAGATAGAGTTTTAAGTGGAGCATTTAAGGATTTAGTATAATATAGTGATTAGAATGCTTGTACTAAACTAGATTAGGCTAGTTTTGGTTGATCATCTCTTTAGAGAAGTGATTTAAGATTTGATAAATGATTAAAGATTCTTATGAGTGATTATCTTAGGAGTTTTAATTACTATTTAGAGTATATGATAAAATTTGGAGGGCTTTATTTAAGTGTCAATCGGTAGACAAACTGACTAGGTTCGATTCTTGTCTAGCTTGGTTGAGAATCACTAAGAAGAATGTTGAAGTGATTTTAAGGGTTGAATTGAGTAGTGGATGATATTTTAAAAATTACAAGGATATTATGAAACTTTTAATAAGGTTGAGAATAGGACATAAGATATTAGAAAGGAAATTAAAAATAAAATAAAGTTAACTACCTAACCTCATAAATAATAAGACACCTGAAGCCTCCAAACACTAAATAAAAAGTGGCAAATTTTACTCACAATTTAACACATAACATAAATAAGTTACAACACACGGGTCCCTATTTATAGATATTTCATCAAGAAAAATTTAAAAGAAAAGAAGAGAAGAACTTTGGAGAGAAATATTGGTTATCATTAATGGAGGAAGGTGCCAACCTTCTTGAAATTATTTTTCTTTTTTCTTACGACCAATTTATACAAGCCTCCAAATATGAAAAGTCAAAGCATATAGAAACTAAATTTAAAATTTAAATATTAAAGTACAAATTTTAATTTGGCTTTTCGTGCAAACTCCTAATTAAGCTCTTGATTGAGCACTTTCTTAGGCTCTTATTTAGGCCTTCGTAAATGAACTTTTAATAACTTTTGCCTGGTCTACATAAGATACATGAAAAGATGATTTAGTTTATTTTATACTTGTGAAAGCATTATATAGAGGATCAAAATTATAATTATGTTTAGATAATCCATTAACATAAACTAGTGTAAAATCTTCTTAATTGTGTGCACATTAGATTGAAATAACCTTTTTCCAAAATATCTAATATTTTAAATTTCAATATGTTTATTTAAATTTAAAAGGTTTTAAATGGATAATTTCTTCCTTGAGCATGCATGTTATTTCTTCCTCAAGATTCCTTCTCTGAAGGCAAGGACTTCATGTAGATTCACCATTCTATCTAACATTGTAATGCTCATAAGTTTGAATAAATATACTTTATAATAGTCTTAGACTTAACGCTAGATGCTTTCTCAGAAAATAATGCTACACAAAAGATTATATTATTTGAATATCAATTATACCTCACTTGATTAACTCTAATAAATTGAATATCAACATTTACTCACACCCATTACATTATACATAATCAATTTAAAATAATTTGAGAGGAAGAAATAAATGCATCACTTGTTCTAATGTTTTCTTAAGGAAAAATGAGATTGTTTTGTTTTTTTTTGGCTCTATCAAATATATTTCACTAATTGAAAACATGCAATGCTTGAACATTTAGACTATATTTAGACCCACAAATATTCACATTTCTCGCTAAAATATGATTCTCTTTAAATTAGATGTATGCTTAACCATTATAAAAATTATTATAACTCCACAAGTGTTTTGATTTGAATTATATATATCCATATACACTTATGGGCTATGCCATTATAAAAATTATTATAGCTTCACAAGTGTTTTGATTTGAATTATATTTTATCCATATACACGTATGGGCCATGTCAACAATTTTTAGGATAATTTAACTATCAACAAACTTATTAAGAAATAATCATATTAAGTTTATGATTAAAATATCCAAATATTTTAATCAAATTTTAATTAATAATGAAACCATTTTACAAGAACAATAACTTGACCAAAAATATATATTACTCCTCTACATCAAGTATTTCTTCATAACTAGAGTTACTTCCTATGTACAATTTTCCTTAACATTTCTAGCAATAACCCAAAATGAATTTTTTTGTATCCAAAATTCTTTTCGTAATGAACTATACATTCATCTTGTACTTTAATTTTGACTGTTTTTTCTTCTTTATTCTATTTTAAAAACCTGTACATTTTTTAAAAGTGATTTTAAAATTGAATATTTCCATAACTAAGTTAAAACTATATCAATAAAGAATTTCATTCTTTCAAAAATAAATTAAAATAAAGAAAACACTTGGCAATGTATCACAACTATAAAGTTATATCTTTAAAAATAAGAGCAAAATTAGTCAAAATCAAATTCCCTTTTACAGGACTACTATTATTCGAGAAACAAAAAGAAGCCCTTATAAAAATGTGCTCATCATATTTATTCTTCTTAACACTACCTTGTTGTCTTGATCAAGGTTTCATTAAATAAGCTATAAAATCTAGAGATGAATTTAATTTAAATTTAATATTCTTATAGAAAAATGTGTCTTCTCGGAGTCTTAAAACATTATCATAATGAGGATTCCTTCGTAGTGACAAACAAATTGTAACAGAAAATAATTACTATGGATTGGATGGAGGAGAAGATGGGAAAAGATGAGAAACTTCCAAAGAGAAATTGCAATTATATTACACTAATGCATATGGTTTTATAGTATTATGCACACTCCTAATAAAAATAATAAGTTAATCAGGATTTTCTTACAAACTTAAACTCTAAAATTATCTTAACTCTAAAGATCTAAAAGTTAAATCACAATAATATGAGATGGTCATTAAAAAAAAAGTAGAAGAAGGCATAAAATCTAGAATATATATTACTTTTCCTTAAGTATATAAATATTTTTTCTGTAGTAATGACGGAATATATGTGGAACTGACTTTCTTCAACTATTTATTTGTTAAATGTTGACATATAAATGCCTTAAGCTTAAATAATTGATAGTGAGTACATAACATTATAATCTTTTCAACAACCATTCTGTATTATATCACTTTTTTTTCAATCCAAGTAAAATATAAATGTTAATGTGTAATATCTACTTTAATAGAAAATCTGGTAAAATATAATCTTAAAAAAGAATTCATGATGATATTTGTCTACATCAATCTACTAAAAAAAGATAATGGTGAGGAGGATAATTTAATAAAAAGTATGAACCTTGAGATAACAAAATCAAAAGAAAAAATGGCGGAATTGCACATTCACAATAGAGATCAAAGTTTGGAGACCATTTGTTATTTCTCATGAAGAAACCCTTTACTAATTTAGATTTTGTTCATAAAAAATTATAATCATTAATTAAATCATATAATATAAGAATAATTAACCTTAACACAAGTTTTTATAGTTTATAATGGAGGTCTTTCACCTAAAACATACTCTATGGTATAAAAGTGAAATCTTTTATTTAAATTATCTATCACCTAAATAGATAATAAGAAAATCAGTTGTCCCTCGTGAAATGAGAGGGAGAACAATTGAAAGAAGTCCTTGAAAAAGATTGAAACAGGGAGCTTACCATCACAAGGTAAAGGGAACTAGGTTACCCATATACTTGTTGTATTAACACATGATTTAAGAGATTGGAATAAATTAGAAAACAAGAAGACTAGTGGTAATTGATAGGTAATGATGACCAAGCATCAAATACTAAAACATTTGAGAAATAATTTTAGAGGAATAATGATATGGGGCAGAGACATGACTATAAGGAGAGTAAGGGTTCATCAAATTGGAACAAATTCAATAACCCAAAAAAAATGCCCCTTGAAAGAAAGTCAATTTAGATAGGGTATGACCCATTTGTATTTAAAATAGAGGAGCACTTAGTAAGAGATTGTAACTAACCTAGTGAACAAGAGTTGGAGAGGGGGGAAGTTGCAACCTAAGGGTGTTCCCACTCAAGGAGGTTAATTAGGAGATTTTTGCTAGGAAATGATCGTGATGTTTTAAATATAAAGTAAACTAAGGAAACTTCAACAAACTAAGGAAACCGGAACATGAAACAATAATGATTACTACATTGCCACTTTTCATGGCAAGACAAAATTTTAAGAATCATGCATATAAATTTAATGTTTGTAAACCATATATTTATTCTTACAATAGCCATCTCAACTTCACGCACACATTGTGCTTTCTTCTAGATAAATTCATCACTTTAATCATGGAAATGATATCATTTTGATGGAGCGAATTGGTAATAATATGCATTAAATAAAATAGTAAATGAACATATTAAAAATTAAAACTTCATTTTCCTCTTCAAAGTCTTAATAAATATTTGTTAGGTCATATAGATGCTTTTATGGACATCTAAATGCTTTTGCAATTATGCACCCTCCACCATGAAATATAACACTTATCAGGTTCGAAGTCCAGGATGCAAAAAATAGAGGGTTGTATTAGGTACTCTACAGCTAGTTGCGTTAGGTAGTTAATAGTTAGCGTAAAATTTTTGCCGGAAAACTATGATGACACCCCATCTTTTGAAGGCTAATAACCATTTTTTCAATATATATGGTTGGAAATTGACTTGGTCATAAATGAGATTCAGTAAGTTTCTTTTCTTATGAACATTTTTTTTCAAAATTTCTGAACGAAATAATATAAACATTGATTTCAGTAAGTTTTCATATCATGATTGGTTGGTTCAATATCAAAAACTTGTACTTTATGGCAACAATTCTTAATTTTGTTTTCTCTTTCTCCATTCATTCTGGCGTTGAACTACTGATAAACAATGACGATACAAGGTATTATCACTGAATTAGTTGCATTTATGTAAAAGCAGGTATCACTCCGATTTATCGATTGCACCAATGGCTGCTCCAAATGTGAATAATTACATGCCACCTGGTTGGCTTGCATGAGTAACTAGACCTCTTATTGCTCGTATAATCCTAACAAAACCCCCCTTTTTTGTGTTTATTGTTGACATGCCTGTTCAAGATTTCTATTCTATTTAATGTTCTCAGGGTCAATTATATGTAAAACTTATCTATAAAACTCCTGATAAAGGAAGATATGAAATAGAAGACAATGTTTTATAATCATACGAGACTTCGATACATGTTGCTCTTAGACAAACTTAGTTTTCATTCTACTGTGAAAATTTGAGTTGCTGATGGCTATTTGTATTTCATGGAGTTGTGAAATTTTCTGTTTCCATACTTGAAATTGTTTTTGGAAAAAAATTGATGGAGGATGCTTTCATATGTTATGTGCAGCTAAAGAAAAGTTACTTCTAATTTGTTTTGTTTTATTTTTTTATATTTTATTTTTTATTTATTCTTTCGGAATGAAACGCGCTGTACCTATAAATTTATGTTGTTGCAATTCTGTATGGGTTTGTTGGTTCGCCTGAATAGTTCATGTCATCGAAGTTTTGAATCGTTTTAGTAAATATGCAGACAATTTTTTTCTAACTGAAGTTGGTCAAACACAATGAAATAAATATATTTTGTAGCGATATTCCTAATTCCTGATAAATATTCAAAGTTTCACAATTGTTAGGCGTTATATGTGATTTATTTTTATTTTTATTTTTCCTTTTTGATTTTTGAAGTTTTTGATTTGTATTTTTAACTGCATTCATTTTTATTTATGATAAAAAATCAATCTAATTTTGAAAAAAATGTTGATTAATTTTAGTTTAAATTTGTTTTGGAAACAAAAACCATCTCAGACATTGCCCTTCGTTGCCAACCATCTGTAAGCATCATTCATGATAGTGTATAATTTTTAATAAAAATAAAACATTCAAAATTGAATTTCCTTAGCAACATGATAGCCTGAATGCTAAACAGCCCTCATAGGCCTAATCAATCGAGTCCATTAACTATGCACTTGATGTCCTGATCATACTAATTGTACTCCGTAGTTGTGTTTTTTGAGATGAATAGATACAATGTTTCTTTTGCTAATCAAAAAGGACCTTGCAAGTACCTTCAATGATGCTCATTGGCATTCACGTGAATATTTTAATCAAGGTCAAATTCATACGGTTTCCAACGAGTTCCTCCAAATGAGCATGATCATGTTCTTTGAGCTCTATCTTTGAGCTCGTCCACACTAAAAATGTTCTCTTATTGTGCTTGTCGATCTCTATCCAGCTGCATCATAGAGCTCAATGAATAGTCCTTTGAACAGAAGGAAGGAGACTGTGCTCCATCAGCATTCATATCTAAATATTGACTGCTTGGCATCCATGCTAAGGATTCTACAAACAACAAGTGCATACATGTCTTGCATAATACGACCTATAGTGTAGTCTTTACATCCATGTTAGGGTCGGGCTCCAACATTCTATGATGCATACTTAAGAGGTAAAATGGATGAACCAAGGGTTATGATCATCCTCTTCTTCCCTTATCACAATTGAGAAAGATACACCTGAAATCTTCAGATCCCTTCCACCCCATCCACAAGATCTCTCACGAATGTGTGAGTTCAAAATTATATGGGAGTAAATGTCCTAAATTCATTCAACAACCTAAAATGTGTGGTGAGTGCGGAATTCATACTTTGATATAGCAAAGAGCTTTTTGGATAGAGGAGAACGAAAGAGAATAATGAGTTGCACCCGAGTTTATGACACAACAAATGTATGAATTAAGAGAAATATGCAAAAGATGATAGAAAATGTATAACTAGAAGAGTCAAGAATCTATTCCATAAATAGTTGGAGAAGATGTATAAGATCTTCAGGATCAGTGGTGTGAAGATGAGAAATACAATGACATCAACCTCTTAAGAGAAAAACTATCACGAATCATAGAAAGCAGATCCCTGACTCGGACACTAGAAAAAGAAGTTGTTGATGATTATGCATCGTATTTCTCTAAAGATGACTTGTGAATCCTCGGGTGGCGAAGAAAGAATGAAAGGAAGAAAGCAAAGATTATTGGAGGATGCATTTTCTAGAGAATTTGTTGAAGGCAGAGCACTTAGAAATTTAAAATCCTATCCTTAGATTCTTAAAAAGAGAGTAATAATCTCGATGATCATGTAATATCACTTAAATCTATAGTTTGCTTGTTACAATTAAACAACACCCTTAAGTGTTGCTCATTCCTTATGGTGGTTAAGGAATCAATTCTGCACTGATTCAATAGCTTTTTTGTATGTGTCATTACCTCCTCCAAAAATTTCAAACAAATATTCGTGACTCAACTTGCTAGTGCCCAAACATCGTCAAAGAGTTTTCATGCTCTATTGAAAATCTGGCGAGCGCCTTTCAAAAGCTTGAGGAACTTTATTACTCAATTTCAATGAGAGATGTTGGATGTTAGAGATTTTGAGCCATTTGTAACTAATGCAGAATTACCAAGAGCATGAGGGCCCATTCAGATATGTACTAGGCTTACAAAAGATGAAAACATTGGTTGAGCTTCTAGAACTAGACAATAATTATACTTTAGTTGCGGAATATGATTCATTGTCAAATCCTTCTAGCACATGCGAATAAGAAAATCAATTTTTCAAGAAACACTTTCAAAGTTACGTAAAGACTAGAAAATAGTTCAAGTAAAGAGATCACCGAAACACTATGGGAAGGCCCTCCCAACACGAATGATTGATCTAAGTGCAGTGAAGTAATGACTGTTTTTTCTCTGTTCTTTTTAGCATCGTGGAGTGTCCAGCTTAACTATTTATGTGTCATGGTATAATCTCCTATTCGAGTAAATCTCCTTCCCGAATCATATAAATGATTCAAAGAGGAGAGGAATAGACTAAAGAAATGACATACGACAAAAAAATAGAGAAATAATTAAAATGAAAAGAGACGGAAGACTTATATATGTCCTTATGTGATAGATCAAGGTAACCATAATAATTTTGACAGGAAGGAGATTTCACTTCAATAAAAGAGGTTTCACTTTTATTCCCGTGATTATGGGATAATAGGTCCATAAAGTGTGGTTATTTCGTATGGAAAAGTTATGATGCTTTAAAGCTCACGCTAAGCCGTCGAGTAGAGAATGAATCTCTTACGTCTCAAATGGGTAGTGGCTCCTAGCATACGGTTCCTACAAAATAACCATAATCATTTTGAATGGGATATCCCTATGCGTCAAAGCACATTCGAGCCATAAAGGAAAAGATCCTGAATGGGCTGCAAATTATCAGCTTAGTGTCTTCAAAATGATATCAACAAAGTCAATGGAGCTTGTAGGGCTCAACAGAGGTAGTCAATGGTAGCGAGGAGTAGTCCTAAAAGGTAGGGCTAGCTAGGTTGGGATATCATCGAATTGTCCTCCCAAGACAATCAGACCATATATCTATACGGTCGTGAAGGTGGTCGAGCCAACATGTGATGGGATCTCCGGTCAGCAATCCATGAATTGCATTGTCCATGGACACCTCAGTAGCCCTAAGGTCAAAGGAAGGAAACTCACCTATGACTGTAAGCTGGAAGCTCCAAGAGGTAGGACTTAAACCTGCTAGAGTGCCTAGGATGCCTCAAAGAGAGAGAGAGAGAAAGGTGCTTAAAAAATAAAGCTTGAAATGCTCCAACCAGAGGACTTACACCCCATCTGGGTTAGGGAGCCTTCTACACCCTAGGTGAACTAGACAACCACTTATTTATAAAAATGTATGTTGGGCCTGTCGGGTTTGAAAAACACAAGTACTTCTCCTTAATACATGAAATTATGATGTAGTTATTTACCACAATCCTAAGCGTGGAGGCCCTATTAACTATGATTGGGGATACACCCATTGATGTAGCCAATTTTAAAACCGGTCTGAAGGCCATGCAGAAAATTAAAGATGGGTTTTGAAAAGTTTTGAATCTTTTAATCCTAGATTTTGATTTATTTTTATATTTTATTAGGATTTTTATAAGTACAAAAGTTATAATTTTAAGGTTCTTAGTGAGCCAAGATAATACTTTCTGTGATATGTGAAATGCACATAAATATATAATAGAAACAGTCCAAACATGCAAGCATTCAAAAGAAAACACACAATAATATATAAATAGAAAGGCCAAAATGTCGTTAGGTGAGCAAAATAACCCATGAAAGTAGTAAATGTGACTAGACTTTACATATTCACAACTAGTCCCAAGTCTATACAATAATGTAAAATTAAAACTTAAGGTATAGGACACGGGTTGCCGCTTCTGGTCCTCAATGGTTTGATGCACCTCCTGCATCGGAACCCATGCATGTACCTTATTTTTGATACAGACTCATCATATGACTCTATCAAATACATCATAAAGAGAAAACAAGTGTTAGTAGGGAAATCCATGTTACAGAGAGAATGAGATGTGCTATATAATTTAGGGAGCTAAATAACACCTGCAAGTAAAAAAGGTAAGAAATCATTACATGCTCCCCCATAGCGTTATCTTTGTCAGTGTGTATAAGTAGGCATGACTCCCTGCAGAAGAGTGCCCTACTATTCTGCCATGCATGTCAAGCACACTAGCACACCAAAAAACAAATGCTGACACATGGCGTGCAAAAGTAACACAACACAAAATAATAGCTAGAGGTGTCCAAAAATACTACAACACCTCCCTAAACTCTAGCATAACACACCATCTAACAAAAAGTATCCTAACGAGCATCTGGGTATGTATGCCTTTGATGAGATTACCACATCAGCCCCAACTTAAAGATCTAAGGAATCTAAAGGGTGTCACCCATGATAGATTTTTAAAAGTGGCAGGCCTCACATTTGACCTATTTTACTACATGCATAGTTTTCAAAATATAGTGGAGCATAATAAGTATAAGAATATATTTATTTTTTATTTTAAAATAGGGGCCATTAAATGCAGAGCCACAACATGCAAGGCAGACATGAGTTAGATTTCTTAGATTCTTAGCACAGTCATACTCATGTGGATCCTGATAAATTTACTTGCATTGCTCAGTGGGATCAACCCAACAAGCAATGCTTGCTAAGGCATCATGACTGACATGTGAGTCACTCTCCTGAAAAATCTAGCCCACTATCCATACAAGCATGAAAATGTAGATACATGTAGTCAAATGACATAAGTGGTGACATAGAATATGTTGTGAAGGTAGTGACTCATGAAT